ATTAAAGAAACGTCTAATGAAAACTATAGTCGTTTAAACATAATTACTTGGTCTAACTATCAGTACTCAATATTAGTTGTTTGCTGTCACGTAACAATTAACAATGTCTGAGATAATAAGAATGTAAAAAACATAAGACAGGACTGTTAACGGCTCTTAAGAAGTTAAAATTATGTCTAGAAATTAAATTACTACAACATTTAAATCCGATTAGTTCATTTCATTCACTAAATATTACGAGCCAATTATGATACTATATATCAACTAGATAATTAATAGCTAATGGATATTTTTATCAAGTTTATAAATGTAAATTTTTTTTTTTTTTATGATTTTCTGACCTTTAAATTGTTAGTAAAAATTTATCACGCAAATAACTCCACGTGAAAAAAAAAATACTTTTAGTAATACATTTATACGTGGGTAAATCAAAATTCTTTCGATTGTTTTAGAACTCAAATGTGTGTTGATTATTGATGTTTTTCATAAAAATATATTTGTTTTTTGAATAATACATGACAATTATTTTAAGGCTTGGTATAAAATTTTTCATGTAATAGTTGCATCCGGAATATTGATATTCTCATTTTTGTGCTTACATTTTTCAATGGATTTTTGGCATGGTTGATTACTTGATTGCTTCAATTATCATATTTGTACACGAAAAAATATTTTATTGAAATGTTTTGAGATTGTATTCATAGCGTATTGATTTAAGAAATAGTTAATGGTTTTAGCAAATGAATAAAACTAAAATGTTGAAAAAGGTTTTAATATAAAAATTAAATACAATAAAAATACTCTATTACAACTAAATTCCTAGTTCGTGATAATTAATTTAAAAAAATAAGATTGTATATAGTTAATATATGTTTATTAAATATTTTAATCAAACAACAATATTATGTAAGAATATATGTATATACAACAGTTTTGTATGTACACTGGATTTCGAGGGAAAAAAGTCTACTGTTTTTACGTATTTTATTATCCATGCGAGTGTGTATTTTGAAAAACTACATGCGCTTGTGATCATGTCTCGTTTGTAATTACAGCATTCGATAAAAATCTTACGAAATTGCAATGAGCACGTCTGGATTGCATTTTTTTTTCTCCAGAAAAAACTCTATTGAAGTATTTAGTTTGCATTTTACAACTCCCACGGTACTACTAAAACATTGTGGTTGATCCCCTGTGTATCCTTAACTTTAATGTTAATCTACGATTCAAAGATAAATTCTATGTGTTTTTTTTATTCCACCGTGTTGAAAAAAAAATCCATACCAAATATTCCCCGAGGACTTTTGGACAAAATCAGTCATTCATAATTATAATATTATACACACTGACATTAATCTAAATATTGATTTTTTTTGTGTTTGCGTTTCCATATACGAGAAATGTTTGTTCTTTCGGTGTATGTCGATCAGTAATAGAAACGTTTGTAAGTCCTTGACAGCAATAATAAATATATACCATAATATTATTTAGTAACTTAATTTTATAATAAACAACGCACCACGTTGGTCAAGCCAAGCGAACCTATAATCTGGTATATATTCTAAATTTTTGTTTCAAATAAAGAGGTTGAATGATAAAAAAATGTGTATGTGGTCACACGCTGAGTTCTGCTCGTTCCGTTAAAGTACAAACATAACATTAGTGTTAGATTATTTTATCTCGTTAAAAAAATAATCAATGATTAAAAATGTAAAATTGAAATAAAATGTACCTAAGTTAAAAAAAAAAAAGTTATAATCAAGATCTGTATTCGAGTCATGATTACATTTTTAATGTAGATGTATAAATGTAAAATACACCAACATACAAAATACCAAAATGTTTCGTTATAATTATTATCCCAGAAAATTTTCATTTTATTAGTTTTCCAATATTTAAATATCCCATGAAAATTATATTTATTACTATTTGAACAGTACACATTTTTTTTTTTTGCACTCTGTTGGAACGGTACCAAACTTAAATATTAATATATTATCTATCGGAGACACAATTTTACATAAAAGTCCAAATGCAACGAAAGAAAATTATCATAATTCGATAGTATTATTTCGCATATCATGTCCGAACAATATAATACAACAGACGTTATTCTGGATCTCGATTTGTAGTTTTCAAAATATCAACGATTACATCTACAGTTATGTTCTTGTTTACCTTATTAGGCTGTAACAATAATGATGATAAATCGATAAATATTTCTATAACATGATTGCGTTCTATAGGTGTGTTGTCCTTTTATCAATTTTTCAGCTTACTATAAAAAAATACCTGTGAATAAACAAAATAAACATTTGTCATGTTTTTATTTAACAAATTCTACATATTTTCGATATGTATAGAAGTGAGACAAATAAAATGTTAAAGATCGATATCCTGTATTGAGAAGACGTAATACACCGGTAACTTAAGCGTAAAAAATGTTTTGTATAAGACAAAACCGTTCAGTTTCAGTGTCAATTCTAAGTTGAGACTCAAATTTATATTTTTTTTTTTTTTAAAGAGATCTTTGATATAACGATCTTGTTTTTTCGCTAATAAAAATGGATTCAGAGATATTTATATGAAAAAAATTCTAAGATCATAAGGTTTTTGTTTTTAAAAAATATCGAGAAATAAAACACTGCATCATAGATTATGTTCCTCACTAATAAAAAAAAAAAAAAAAAATTAAAATATTTTCTTCTATAAACATGCACTGAATGGTTTTTTCCAATGCCAATATGGTATTTTTCCAAAAAAATCGTATTCAAATAATTATAACACATTTAATAATTAAACACGTCTCGCATATGTGGACACCTGTACTGATCTTATCGTATTCGATCTATGGAGGCGTTTAACCCGCTTAATACTTTTGTGTATCACGTCTTCTTAAGCTATTTCATAAACAGGTATTTAATAAAACGTAAGTATATAGACAGTGCTGCAATTACCGCAGGCGCAGATGGTTCAAGGCACCACCTGATGGACCTTAAAATATTTTTATTGGGGGCCTCGGATTCCCCAAATTTCATATAAACATACAATTTCATAATACACATATATTTGTATATATATACAATTCCTCATGATTTCAAATGCAGCGTTGTACAATCTTTAGAACCAGAAATATGAGGTAATTGAATGTATTTTTTAATATAATTTTCTATATTCCTAAGGTAAATTTATATTTATGCTAATTAAGTGACGATGAAAGGCTTCTAAAATGTTTTTGTACCTCGGCATAAAATTGTAGTTGCGGCACTGTATACAAACACTCGAGTAATCGTGAGACGATACTTTATTGTGAATATTTCTTACTTATAAATATCAGTATGCCATACTGGGATGGTCGGATTTTATATTCGATTCGGCGACAGTTGACTATTGGTCGTTGTGATGCGTTTTGATATTTTTGTGGAAGATATTTATTTAGAACTCGATGTGCTTCGTACAAATAATAAGTTTTGTAAAATATTCTATTCAAAATATAATTAAAACCGAAAAAAGGTAAGCCATATGTATTCGTATATAGTCATAAGCATAGGGAATAATTAATTAAAAACTTTTTTTTGTGTTCGAGATCGGAGCTCGAACTAAAACTGTCAATCAACTATATATGTTGACAATGTAACGTAAGTTTTTAGTTTGCTGAATGAACTTATAATCATTATATAATTTTGGAAAATATTTTTAGTAGAGAAAATATAGGTTCTCGAATTTCCGAATCAAAATGTAAACACTTTTTTACAAAACCGATAAATTACGATATATACTGTTTTTGACGTCAGATTCTACTGAAGTTTTTGTAAATGTGTGACATATGATTAAAAATGATGTTTATAGTTTACTGGCATAAATTATTAATATCATCGATTAGTTCTTATTTTCGATTCGATTTTAAAAAGAATTCACAAAATGTTATAAAAAAAGGATTTATATGTAATAAAAGCATGGCCTTTAATTTAGTCCAAGATTAGTTTAAATAATCCAAAACTAGAGCAACAAATTAAAAAAAAACATTTCATAGTCAAAGATAAATCTATGGTAATAATTTTATTTTATTCTAAAATGTCTACCTGAAAACTTAGTTGGCTCTGCCTTTTCATATTTTAATTTAAATGTCTCTTATTAATTCTAATTATTCCGATTATATATTTGATAACTTTAAATTATAAATGCACCAATCCAGATTTTTCCCCTATTTTTCACAAAATTTCATTAGTTAATCTTCAAATAAACTAGAACAACCAATGGACCAAAATCATTTCACTGATATTATAACTCACAATTTTACATTTGTTATCTTTCTATTTATATATTATCAATTATATCTTGTTAAACATCAACATTTAGATTTGTTTAAAAAATCAAGGATATTAAAAAATAAAAAAATAAAACCCGAAAAGTACAAAAAGACAATATTAAATTTATGATATAAACTCGGACAAATTTACAACTAAATGATATCTAAATAATAATGTTTGAAAGTAATGAAACCACAATTTTGTACGACAAAAATGTAATATTTAAATTGTATTTATCAAATTACCAATTGTATTGAGTTTTTATTCAAAATTATTAAAATAACAATTTCTAAATTTATGTTTTTATATTCTTGGAGCAAAATCATATTTTTTCACAGAATAAGGTAAAATACACGCAATCATGTTATAGTGGTTAACCCAGCATCACTCGCGCGTTGTCTTTTACGCAATTGCTCGCATGTTAGATTTTTTCTAACAATCAATTAGTTTATTTAATTTCATCAAAACACAAATTCCTTTTTATACAATTTATATTTATTGCATTATTTACAAAAGACAATACATATGAGATACTTGTGCCACTTTAATTTTACCATTTTAGGTGTTATAAAGCTGTTATTGAAATACATTAAAAAAACATATTACATTTTTATATTTAATTTGAAAAAAAAAAGTACTGATAAATTAAAACCTTAAATTTATGTATACTTGCAAAAAATTGAAATAATATTAATCGTCTGAATCTTGAGGATTATTACAAATGAGGCAAATTAGGTTAGTTGATGCAGTATGTTCCTTGCAAATTGGTTTGGAGCAAAGGCTACATTGATGCTGTGTGAATCTATTTTTACGTATTGGACAGTATTTACATCGTGGCTTTCCTTGAGGAGTATTTTCCTTTGGTGGTGCTTGAAATCCTGTAATATTTTGTATTTTCTGTCGAATTGATAATCCAAGACTAGGTATTGTTGCACGTTTTAACAAATGGGGTTTTGTTAATATTTTGCATAAGTCTGTAAGAAATTGTCTTCTAGTAAATATATCATTCGTATTCGTTTTATAAATTATTTGTGAATTTATTACTCCAATATTCAACAGACTACAAAAAATTGTGAATGGCCAACGGTTACTTATTCTTGTTACTGAATATTCACTTTTTAGTCGATCTACTACATCAACTCCACCTTTGGTCAAATTATAGAAAGTTATTACTTCTGGCTTTTTCAAATCACCCGAATCTGGGTCAATATAATCATCACAATGCATTGTTGATAACATTAAAACATTTTTATTTTTTTTAGGAACATACGAGCAAAGAAGACTTTTTGTATGTTGTCCATACGCAAACATTGTACTTTGTAATGGACGTGTTTTTATATTAGTAAACTCTGGTGGAATCTCTCTTTTGTTTTTCCTTAATGTTCCTACAATAGTAAGCCGGTGGTTTGCATATAATTCGTTGGCGAGAGGTACAGATGTAAAATAATTATCCATTGTAATATTTCGTCCGGATTTATCAATTGGTTCTATTAGACGTTTCACTACACAAGCTGCACTATTATCTTTTTGAAATGGACCTGTGGGCTGTTTTCCAGCATATATTTCCATGTTGGAAGTATAAAATGTTCTAGCATCAACAAGAGCATATATTTTGATGCCATATTTGGCGGGTTTGTTGGCTATATATTGCCTAAATTTACACCTCCCACGAAATGCTTCTAACATTTCATCGATAGTAGCGTATTCACTTATTGTGTAACTTTCTATGCATGATTTTAAAAACTGGTCAAAAATATATCTGATTGGCGCTAGGTTGTCAGTCTTTTTTCGCTCTAATCTACTATTACGATCGTCAAAACGAATTGCTTGTACGAGAGTATGAAAACGTCTTTTAGACATAGTTGCCGAGAAAAATTCAGGAGCTGTACCGTCGGTAGACCATAATTCATCGGTGTTCAAATGCTGAGCCTTCTTTACACCAGCCAAATATAATAACCCAAAAAATGCTAAAATTTCTTCAAAATTTGTTGGTGGACAGTCTCTTTCACCTCGTGTATAATTAGAACGAATTAAATTTAGTTGTTGATTTGTACATTCGACAATATAAATAATTATATTATCAGGAAAAAATATTTTCCAACAGTCTAAAATTGTTTTTGAATTTTTAGCTGCACCTTTCACTCCCGGTAATTTTGTAATTATATTTTGACGAGCAGTTTTTGTAGTTTGGGGCTTATGGATTAGCCATTTTGTACCATCTTTTCCAACATAACAAGGGGTATTCAGAAAATTATTTGAAGCCGGGGTATGTGTATTATCAGAATCACTATTACCTGACTGTTCTGATTCTGTGTCATGATTTGAATGCTCAGATTCTGTATCCGTTTCTGAGTTCAGGTCACTGATGTTTGTATCTTCATCTTCTTGCAACCATTCTATTACTTTATTTGTATTTTTATCGTTGTTCATTATTACAGTAAACAATTACAAAGAAAACAATATCATAAAATGACACTCGACACTCAAAATAATGATATTTGTTTGAAAATGTTAATTTGAATTTTACACACATACAAAAATCATCGCGTAAACACTCGCGTGTTAGATTATTACTAACAACTCGGGTGTCGGGATCACTCGCGCGTTAGATTACTACTAACAATTTGCTTACCGTCAACTTTAAACTGAAAATAATTGTCAAATAATATTATCTTATCTTCCGTTATGATATTATTAGTCCTATAGTGATATAGATAAAGCATTGATGGAAGGAGAACTATTAATCATTTAATCGATTATTGTTATTTTAAAAATAAGTTGAATGTTAGATTATTTCTAACTGTGCGAGTTATCGCGGGTTAAGAATAAAAGTATTTTTATATACTATACAAATAAATTTGTGTCAGTTGAATTTTGCATGGTAATTCTCGACAATGCTAATTAATGCTATTATTTTCGACAAATTTATTAATAAAACCATATTTCTTTAATGTATTCACTCTATAGTATATATTTATTGATAATATTTTGGGCAAATATGTATTAATAATGTTCATAGTTGATCACATAAATTAATAAAGGTTTTACTACAAATTTATATCAGGTCATGTTTATGCTCGACGTAGTATAGTAGTTGGTAACTGAAATTCCAACTATTTAATGCTAATGCCTGAGTTATACCTAAATATTTTACACGAATTACAGAACTTAGCTTAAACAAAACTTTGTATTATTAATTAAATTTAATATGGTTACATACTATGTTCATAGAAATATTAGCGATTGTGAATTCAAACAATTCGTTTTACGTCTATTAATGTTTAAACCACACTTCAATATCTCCGACTATAACCACAGTCGCTTATAATTATTTCTTAAAATTCATCTTACGTCACTAGAATCAGTTTAAGTATAAGTTGTATTTTAATCATTAACTTTTCAAGCGACGACAATATGGATTTAAAGATTTTGCTCTGTGTTAAGCTCATTTTTTTTTTTTTTTTTTGTCAATATTTTATGAAACATTACCATGATATAATTTGATTAGATTCATAAATTAAGTAACAGACTTTTATCAATATAATCTATGTATTATTATACTAAATCAACATAAAAGTTTAGAGTTTATTAGCTTCGATATATTAATAACTTATAGATTATATTGTATTTTTATGATATATTTACGATTTGTATCAAGTTAAGAATAATAATATTTTGTATATTTATTCTATATTATCAAAAACTAAATAAATTTAATGTATAAATAAATATTATAGTAGAATTATATATATTATTATGTATAAATAGTATAGTGATCCACATTGCTTTAATTTTTTATTTCTGTCTTTGATTTAAATTAAGCACCATATATGTAGTTTTATTGTTGAAAGAATATTTAAAATATTATTTAATTAATAAATCCCATTATCTAGCTAAGCTTTAAGCGATATATATTATAAGAAATATAGATGGTAACTTTTAACGTTAATGAAAAAAAATTATTCTAAGATATTAATGTGAATTAAATATAATTTTCAAGTTTATATATTTGATTGTAATTTTAAAAGATGTATAATCGTAAATATTTTAGAAAAAATTAAAAATAATCCTAAAAAATCAAAAAAAAATATATTTAAATGTGAATGTAAATGAGGGTATGTGAATAAAATAAAAAATATAACACAAAATGTGAATAGCCAGTTTCCCTAAAAAGTGAATATTAAATATTAATTAAATCCTTATATCCAGATAATCTGATCACACTATGAATTCTTGGTTCGTAGAATATTATATTTAATATTGTAGACCTTATGCTTGAAACAGATTGAAAAAATTCTCAGAAATTACTTTAACCCGTCTACTAACCATGTGAAAGTAAAATAAGTTAGTAATTATGTCTACAAATTATACTTAAGCGCAGGCCTATGAATTTATGTAGGTGTACCGTAGCAAAATATTTAAAGTGAACTTTTTTAGAGATTCTGTTAATAAAATCAATATAAAATACGTAATACATTACTGTGATGTAAGGAAAAAACTAACATTAGTTTACGCCTACGTTACCGAGAAATAATCTGTTACTTTTACAATAAAACGTCTCTGAGAAAATTTTTCGAATATCATATAAAATAAGGAGGCATTTTGGTTTGCATTATTATTATTATTATTTATCATATATATATATTGAATTAAAATATTGGAATTCGATTTCAAACATTAAAACTCGTTACGAGTAATTTTTTACAACTTGTCACTTGCACGCGCGCGTTATTAACGGGAGTGTTGTGTATTATATAATATTGTATAATGTTTTAGAAGAAAGTAAAAACAGGATGCTTTTATCTGTCAAACTTGCGCCGCCGGTGAAAAAGTATCACGTACACCATAATCGATAACGGCAAATATTTTGGCGCACAGTTATAACTCGGCATAGTAGCAAGCGATAAAAACGTTTACAAATAATTTACATAAGAATGATTTACATTCGGGATGGAATTCAAATACACGCGTGATATCAATAAGATGTATCAGTATAATACTAGCGATAAACCCGGACCAACTTTTGAGTGGGTAATGCAATATTATTACTATATATAACTGATATGTGTTTTTTTTTGCATTAACATTTTATTTTTTTTGGACATACTTTCGACACTATAAAATTGAATAAAAAATGCGCTTACTACATCGAAACACGGTACACCTGTAAACATGGACATTTTCACATGAGACTTGATCGAATACAACATTATGCTAGTAAATTACAGCGTTCTAAAGGTAAATCAAACTTCTCACATTGGAATTCCTACGGAATAAAACTGCAGCGATCGTGAATCATTGACAATTCGAAGAAATACAATCGTTACTACGTATAAAATGTTTTACTTAATATAAATTTCTTTTTTTGTTCCTATATTTATATTTTATTTTTTCTCCGGTGGTGGACATTTCACCAAACGAGACAGATTAGTGTAAATGCGAAAAATGTCGATGAAACACGATATTGTTAAAAATAACAAACGTGTAATTCAATAATATTTTATTTACGGACCACGAGTATACACTTAAAAAATAAATTTCCATTCCAAATCCACTTTTTACTTGTTTCCAATAAAAATATTAGTATTATTACCGGACTTCCTTGTCGATGTTAATCTAACGGAGATGTCATCTGATAGTGAATCGTCCTGAACACTATTATTATTATTATGTAAAATTGAATAAACAATTGTTATTACAACTACTCATGCCTACAAATATATATTTCAAACAAATATTCGTGTACATATTAAACGCGTGGTTTTATAATTGATGACCCTCTTTTGGTGTGGGAAACGCGTTTTTGGGTGCTATTAAATGTGGTTCAATTATATTTATGGTCTACCGATGATCATTAAACTATTACGGGCCAACTAAGACCACCTGCTCCAGTCCAACTAACAAAACATCAATATTATAGTATTACGAAATGTACACATACACACATACTTAGCTGTATATACAGTGACTGTGATGTATGTGAATGTTATCAAAATACTGCTAGTTGACATCGATTTCGTCATCATCTTCTGAACTTGTTTTTGACACTATTACTTATATTATTAACTTTATAGTGCAAACATTTGAATACCAAAATCTTAATATTAAATTAAATAAACCGTTGATAACTGTTTTTAATTCTTTATGTTTGTATACAAAACGTTGTAAATCAATCATTGGTTTTTTGCGTGTATCTATTGATCATACAAATTTCTGTTAATTGTTATTATTATTATTTTTTTTTTTTTATTTAAGATACCAAATAAAGACTAAACTAAATATTATTTCACTTAAATATTTTATGTGTTGAAGAAAAAAAAAATTAAAAAACAATTTACACGTTATAGGGACTGTATTGAATTAGTTTTGTACTTGTAAAGTATAACAAATAGTAAGAAATCTAAAAGTATGTCCAAAAAAAATATGTATGAGACTCCATGGTCGAGTGAATGATATTACTGGTCTTTTAAACTTGTAACCATTCATTGCTTTTGAAAAAAACGATTTTGAGTGAAAAATATCGGATGAATCAGTTCATATTTTTAAAGATAGTTAATATGATACTGGAATCTAGTTTCTTAATTAACTGATAGAAACTTTTAACGTTAAAAAGAAAATTATCTAGATACGTAAGTAAATTATATTATATCCCCAGTGTTATCAAACTATAACTGATTGAACCATCAGCAATTTTATACAAATATTTTGAAAATTATAGAATGTCCCAAAATCACTAAAATAAATATCCATAATGTGAATGTTTCGACTTATTTCGATTAATATGTGAAACAACCAAATACAATATTACAAATTACAATACTAAATTTCGTTAACATTTCATTTTTTAACGTTTATATGACTTTTTTCAATTTTTTTTTTTTTTATTTGTTGGTTTTTTAACATTTTATGTTATATCTATTCTCCAACTTTCTAAAATTGAGTAAAAAAAATGTATGGTTTTTAGGAATTTTTTTTTATTCTTTTTTTTTTTAATTAAGTTAAACATTTTTTATTTTTCAGTAAAATATATATATTTATATGAGAAATTTTTATAATATTTTTAAGACAAATAGACCTAAAAATAAATGTATTAACATTTTACAAAAAAATATATTTTAAAATATTTACAAATAGCTTGAAAATATATAGTGAGCAATTATTTAAGTATTCAGTAAACATTTTCTACGTTTATCAGTTTTTGAGTTGTGATGAAAACCGAAAAACTGTATATTTATTTTTCAGTTTTTTTTTTTTTTTTTATATATAATTTTTTGCAATCATTAAAAAACAATAACTACAATTTAATTTTAATATTATAAATGGAAATAATTTCATGTATAGTAAAATTATGTTTCTAAACATTTCAAAAAATTACTTTATTTTTTTATTTCTTGTTTTAAATAATCACTTAATCCTATCATTATAAATTC